GTTTGAGCGTAGGAGTGGCCTTAGTAGGTGCATTCTTGAATTCAGCTTTTTGCGTTTATTCATGAGGTGAGATGACCATGTTAGTCGTCTGTTAAATATCAAACCAAGATATTTAACTTCGTTTGAATGAGGGATCATAATATTATTCATTGTTACTGGAGGACAGTAATGAGGCCTAAGAGAGAAGGTAATAAAGGAAGACTTTGTTTCATTTATTTTTATTCTCCATTTAACGAACCATTTAGAGAGGATGTCAATGTGTGTTTGTAATTGGCGACTTGCAGTGGTATGATCTGTGGCCGTAGAGAGGATTGCGGTATCGTCTGCATAGGTTCACACACACCTTGGCGGCGTAAAGAACTGTCCGCATTCCGCCTATATGCAACGCCGCGATCCGACATCACATAGAATTCGATTTTCGTGCGGTTTCACTAATTTTTTTCGCTGCTAATCTTTCTTTGTGTAATTATCGCCTTTAATTTGTGTATTAATCGTTTTGTTTTTTATATTTAGGTATACATATAATGAGAATAGTAAATATTACGCTCGTTGATACAATTTAAAATTCATCTGTCCATTTATATTTCCGACTCTATCATTTTAATTACTGCGGCATCCGTTCAGATTTACCATATTTCTTAGTATAAAATATTAGGATTCGGTACGTGAAACACTCATGTTTCTATTGGAAATACAAATACGATTTTTCAGTATTTCTAGGCCAAAAAATGGCCTTTTGAAGCACTCGGTCTTTGCTGTGCTGGAGGAAAAGTTTATTGGACGAAATCATTGATCCGCCAGAACCATTGAAAAGTCTAATTAGTGCCACTTATAATCATTCTAAAGTTTTTCTCGATAATTTACTGAACTAAAATTCTATTAAATGACATATTTTGGTGGCAAGAAGATAAGACCTGGACATTTTATTCGTACGTTTGAAGTTCAAGATCAGTTCACTATTATCAAGCGCTCCCGGAGTACCATCATTCTTACAAATATATTTTATGGGACACTGAGAGCTTGAAATACGGTTATCTGTATGTCTTCACGCCAATAGAGAAGTTTTATATGGTTTACAAGAACTTCTGCACATTGTTAATCCATACCATCAAGGCTTTAAAATTCTTACCGAAACATTACATCTGAATTCCGTGGACTTTAAAGTAATCATTAGAGCGAATCAAACACCATCATTCGAACACAGAGATCATTTTAATGCACCAAAGTCAGACGAAGTAGCTGTACTTATTTAAATAATTATTATTTTTATTTTTAATAATTTACAAGCCAAAATTCGAGCGAAGCTGAATTGAATAGCTATCATTCAAATTTTAAAATATAAATAAGAGGTATAAGCATTGACTATCACTTTTTTTCCTATACTTTGATTTTAAAAATAGGCTCATATAGAGATTTATTTTTATACAACGGAAATGTTGAATATTTTTTTGCTTGTATAGGGCTGTAGTTGGTTACAAAAAATATCGTTTATCACCATGGAATGTTTAAAGTTATTGAGATTTATATATCATATTATACAATCATATAATACTATCATATTATACAAATATTAAATACGTAGACCATTTTGCGAGAAATTGACAAGATATTTTAGATGGGAATGGGACGTAGACGAGTGTAGAGTACATATATATATCTATATACATAAAAGAACAGGCCTTTTTTTTTGTACCCATTTTGTGACGACGCTATTTAACTTTTTTCCAATTTTTTCACAGAATTGTTCTAAATACCTTCTTAAGGGTCACCACATCGCCCAATTTTCAAAATTTTGATTTTAAAGGATTGAAATCGGTAAAAATAATTTTTTACATGTAATTTGTATATCTATATTCATATAATAACAACAATAGCAGTTGACCGATTACGGTTGCTATGACTTATGTAGGATTATATGGAAAACCGTGTTATTTTGACAACCATAAATAATCAAAATGACTCAATAAATTCGCTAATAATTAATGGATTTCAAGCACTAAAAATATATTACTTTTCTTTCGATACAGTTATTAGTAGTGAAGAATCGGTACATTTTCGTACAGAGTTTTTAAATTCACAAACACCTGGTATTCACAACTGGTATGCTTTCTCATAAAATATCACTTGATAATTCGTAATTTGAATTCTTATAGGTTATGTAATGTGACTAGGCTCTGTGTAACCCGTCTTACAAAAAATATAATTGAAACTGAAATTTTAATCGGATGTGTTAAGGGAGAAAAAAAATTTTTACCGAAAATACCATTATTCCCCCCAACGATTTTCCAGTTAAGTTTAGAAGAGTTCAATTTCCAATAAAAGTCTGTTTTGCAATGACAATAAACAAATCCGAAGGTTAGACTTTAACTTACTGTGGTGTAGATTTGGAAAATAACTGTTTTCACATGGGCAATTGTGTGTGGTATTGTCTAGAGTTGGAAGACCTGACCATTTATACGTTTATACACCACAAAATAAAACTCAAAATGTGGTATACCAAGAGGTTTTTACTTAAGTCATATTAAAATTGAGCAACTATGTAAAGAGTCATTTGTAAATATTATTATTATTATTTTTTTGTTTTATTTATAATTCAGCTACTACTACTATTTAGCACTTGATAGCATTAAGTAAAATACATTTTTTTTTCTTTAAAACACAAAAATGTGTGTTGATTTAAAAATTTCATTTTGAGAAAGCAAAAACTACACACGGGCGAAGCCGGGTAATTCAGCTAGTATATATATATATATATATATACATAATAGTCGTTAATTATATCATAACTTTTATCCTCACAAAGATTTTTTAATGAGGCGAAGCAAATAACTTTTAAATTGATTTTATTACTGTTACACTAAAAGACGACTATTATTTACTTACTATGTTTTTGTACAAACAAAAAGTTTACGGAACTAGAAAGCTCAGAAGACTGTTATATAAAATTCAAAACATAAGTTACAAATACTTTATAAGTATTACTATATTTTGGTAATCGTTTGAGCACACAGCTGTTCTTAGCCCATGTGTCATATATTACATATATTAATCGTTAATCGCAATAATTCAGTGTTGAAACTTCCCATAGGCAATTCATTTATTTAAAGACAGTCGTTTATCGTGTAACAATACGCCAATATTTGATCGCAATCTGCTAAAAAATCAATTCCAACTATATACCGTATTTTTGTTGACGAGGAAAAATAACAACATTATTATTAAATATAAGAATATAAAATATAAAATTTGTGCTTGCAACTAATAAACGCAAGCATCTACAATTGGAATGTATTAGTGCTCATAAATCGACGACTAAAAAGATTATACTACACACGTTTTTTGTGAGAAAAAGTCGAATTCGGAAATCGTATTTCAATGATGGTTTTCATTCCACTCTATTCGAGAATCCCGGATTTTAGCTCTGTAAATATAAATATAATACACATACAATCCTTTCAAAACCGCAATAATTTAATGTACTTCAATTAAAATTATATCGATTTTGTTTTAATATAACTAATGCAGGTTAATTTTTTACTTGAATCCAAAATAATGTGCCTAAATTAAACGCGACCCAGTCGATTTATATATTGTAACATGTAATTGGTATTAACTAAGTTTATAAAATTAACTTTAATTTAAACTTCGGTAAGCTATTACTACACAACAAAACAAAACAAACATGTACAAATTTAAACAATTATAATTTATAAACATTTAGATAGAAGTGTGCGTTGAAATTATAAATTAAATTTTTTTCTTTTATTCATTCTATTGTATTGATGATTACGAAATTCTCGATACTAATCAATCCAAAAATTTATGGATTGGTAATTTGCTTTTCCGATGTTTGGATGTAATTATTACAATCTATCCTTTTATTTATTTTTGATCGGATCAAATACGTGACTTTACGCTATTTTATACATTGCAATATTTAACTTATTTTGTCTTATGGGCTTTGTTATAACTATGAAGTTAATCATTATTTGTACCATCTACAATGGAAAAAAAGAAATGAATTAATAAAAAATATACAAAAAAAGCAGGACTTGAAACCGTGGCCGGATTAATGGGTTACCGGGTCTAAAGAAGTTGAAAATTTTTCAGAACTAGTTGCCGACCTTCGTGGTTTTTAGAAATAGCGGTAATCGATTCCCGGTTATTAAAATATCTATAACAAATGAAATAACCAGATTATCTGTTTGGAAACGGTTTTAAATCATCAAACTTACCGGTAACCACTTTTAAACCGGGTTTTCGTTTTTTTTTTAACACTCGATTTTCTTTTATCAAATTTAAATCTTAAGTACTCTTAATAAACCATTTATGTTGTTATGGTGTGACTATAGGTAAGAAAAGGTATAGAACAAAAGAAGATACTACATAATTATCGTACATTAGTAGTATATTTATCTTTTTTTCTTTAAGATACATAAAAAACTTAATAAAATAAAATAAATGATAATAGTTTGATAAACATGTAAAAAATTTCTATCATAATCAAAGTTCAAACTTAATACTTGAAAAACTTAAAATAATTAACAAAAAAATGAATCTGTGTATTCATAGTGTATTACTGAATAATGTATACTTATAAAAATATTAAACTTAAGAAAATATATTAAATTTCCTTACTTATCTTATTTGCTCTTATAATCATGATTTCAATGAAAAAATCAGATGATCTTAGGTCACCACATATGAACTTGAGTTCAAAAAATGTACTGTTTAAGTATGCTATAACCGTTCAATCAGTTCTCTATATTGAAACACGAGTACCGGGGAAAAATTGGTTACCGGTTTCAAGCCCTGAAAGAAAGATACCTACGCGATATGTGATGATAATTATTTTTCATAAATATTTCTGTTTACATTTATGTTATAATTTTTCCGCTTATCTTATATTTATAATGTTTCATTCCAATCAATGAAAATTTTGTATACAACATTTTACGGGTATGTTTTTTTATAATATTAAATTTGTATTTTGTGTTTAGAAATCGAACAATGCGAACAGTGACAAACTATTTCATCGTCAACTTGGCAGTGGCTGATTTTTTAGTTATTCTAATCTGCTTACCACCAACTGTATTGTGGGACGTTACAGAGACATGGTTCATGGGCACTTTGGCTTGTAAAATCGTTTTGTATTTTCAGGTAAGTGTTTTTAATTGTTATCACAAAATGCGTTTAATTTTTCTGGCAATCTCATTAGTTACTATGGTTTACAATTGAAACGAAGATATTTCATATTTTATTTGTTGTATCAGTATAAAAGTTTTTTATTCATTTTATTCATTACTAATTTAATAAATTAGATTTTTGTTAGGGCTTTAAGTGTTTTTTAAGTGTTTTTATGGTTAACTGTTGAAAATATAGTTGTTACATTTAACTGTAATAATGTTTTTTAATATTTTTTTTTCATAATTCAACATTGATTGAGTCGTGTGTTTGTTTTAGATCCATTCTATTTATGTAAACTTCTAATGCAATTTCTATTTGTTTTTTTAATTATTTGAAGCAATGGTATCTCGGTTTGTATACTATTGTTGATCCATAATATATATTCATTACTCTATAGTTTCTTTGAAATTATAGAGAATATCAAATAAATTTTATGTAGGTACTATCTATATATTGTAATTAAATTTAATTGAATCAATTAAAATATTCGATTTTTTTGTGTGAATTTTCTAAATGAAGTTATCCAAGTAAAAAAATATGAGTATTTAAAATTTAAGTTACTTTTGGCTAAGTTCATCATTTACACAATTGTTAAAAAGCTATCACATCTATTTGTATAAAAGTGAGGTTATAAGTTGAACGCACTGCCACGAAATTATATAATTAAATATATATATATATTGACAAATAGTATAAGTTTAATTACTTGTAAAAAAAAAAGCTATACGTACACGTGTATTCCAGAATAATAGTTCAGGACGTCAGAAGTGATTCTTCAACATACCGTTGATAAAAAGAGATGCAAAAAGTAAATGAATTCTGTTCGGTTACTCAATGAAATTATTCGACGCAATATTAATGACGACTGCTTGTCATTTCCATTTATAACTAATTTATACCATTGGAAAATATTGATCAATGTTAAAAGACATTTTAAAGTTCTCTAAATAATTGTTAATTTGCATAGGTATACGTATATATTAAACATCGCTTTTAAAATCTATAACCATGTTCGTAGTAAGCGAGTAATCGACACAATACTTACCAAAGTATTACTAATTCAACTATGGTTGATAAGCTAATGGAAAAGTAAATTTTTTTCGATTTGTTATTTACATACTAGTTTATTGCGAACAGCATGGAACTTAAATTTCTTTAACTTACTGTTTAAGTTTTATCATATATACGTGAAACACTGGATTAAAATTATTGAAGTATTGAGATTCACAAGTCAGTCATTTCTATTGAGTAATGACAATATTAAAATAATATGATTTATCATTTTGATTTAAAATGTTGAAGAATAAAATATTTATTTTAAATTTCGTTGTATTTTATTTTTATAGTGATTTATGGGAATTTATCAGAGTTTGTTTTTAATAACTTTTGAGTTTTTGTTAGACAGTTATATATATGTTATTACACACACTCGTGATCCTTCAACTTTGTTCAAAAATATCAAAATATGAATTATGAATCAGAAACGCATGTGTCAATGAGCAATGTGTAAAAAAAGATATGCGGTTTACAATGTAATCGTTGAGAACATATTATATTCATGTAAATTTTACATTTTCTACTACATTTTCTAATGGAACCATTTGATGTAAATATTAAGTTTCTTTGGCATTACTAAACACCAGGTGTAATCTTTGGGAGTCATGATGCGGAATGATGCCTAAATAAACTGAACGTTGCCTCATTTCCTGGTCTTTATGTTGTAACCAAGATCTTGACGAGAGAAAGCTTTTCTTGTGAGTAATATAGTTTCACAATATTATTTTTCCAGCATTCGTCTTCCAAAGGCCTATTTAAATGCTTCTTTAGCTTCAATTTAAGGAAAAATATAAACCTGATGTTTGTATTAATTAATTAATGGTTTGTTTTCAACACGCGATTTTCCGGACCACATAATTGAAGTTCATATGTTTAGATAAAAAAAAAAAAAAAAAATCTAATACTTAAATAATATAAGCATTTAAAAATATACAATTTTGTTGAATTTCAAATGCTCTGTTGTACCTATATTTCTAAATTAACATTATATATGTATAACGATTTCCATATAAAAGCAATTGAAGAGGAAACACGAATTTTCTACTTACGTTTTATAAAAAACTTTATAAACTTATAATATAATAACTATAATTATATTTAAATATAATTTATTATTATATATATATTTCTACTTTACAGGGCATCCAAAATTTCCGATTTTTTTGTAACTTATGTAAATTTTAATGCTAAAAACGATGGTGCTAACAAAAATTGGCGCAGATGATTAGTTTGGAAGTTGCAGCCTATTGAAATTTGATAGTTTTGGTTAAATAGTCTTTTTTTCTATAATATGTTCCTGTTGTCGTGGTGCATTGGTAACGCGGGACCACCATATATAAAGAGGTTGCGGGGTTCGTAACCGTAACTGTGATTTTGCATTTTTTTTTTTTGTACTTTTTTTGCAAATCGAGATATTTATGTTTTAAATGTCCGAGCGAGCGTAGCGAGCGAGTGACCTAATTTGGAATTCTATCACACCCGAAATATGATTCTGTGTTTTACTCGCGTAGCGAAGTTTTAAGTTGACATACAGAGTGTAAATCCCATTTACAACAGTATCAAGGTTTGTACAAAAATTAGGTTAGGTTTAGACTATAATTCCTCTTGGAGTGAAGCTTAACTTACATACTCATAAAAAATATTTCCGAGATAGAAACAAATTATCAATCGAGCTAGAAGAGTTATAAATTGCAATAAATAATTTCATTCGAATAATATAGTTCTGAGCAATACCTTAATAAATAGTTTTATTACAAAATACGCAGTGGCACTAGAGTTTGTGAGTGCAGCCGGCAGGTGTAACAAGCGGAGTTCAAACATTTTTAAAATTCAAGTTTCAATTTTTCGAAAAAAAAATGCAAACATTTTCATTACGATCATTACGAAGAGATCAAAACCAGATACAAAATTATCATTCAAAAAAAAAAAAAAAGTGATAAAATGTATATTACCTGTGCGGGGAACGAACTCGAATAATTATTACTGCTACCATTGCGCAACGCTTTTAAACATTTTTGTACATACGTTAGAAGTATTTAATAGTTTTAGTATGAAGTTATAAGCTTTAACTAACTTTAACTTCAAAACTAAGTTCTTGCGTGAAATTCCAATATCACCATAATTTTTTTCCCCTAAAATATGACTAAGTCCCTCCAAAAAATTGTCAAATTTTAGGGTGCCCCGTAAACTAGAAATGTTCCAAAACTTGAGACCAATCCCAACTCTTTTATAAAATATTTTTTCACTTATAAAATTCCAAGAAACCTGATCCGCAGGTTAAAAAGGAAATTATGTAATGATTTATTACAAAACTAATTAATATTTTCTTATGCTATTTTAGGGGAAAAATATTAATAACTAGTATTTACCAGTAATAACATTAGTACTAACAGGCACTAATGGGTGGTTATTTAATCAACCAATTAATATAATTTTGTACTCCCGTTTAATAAACTTACTAAGGAGACAATTGTATAGATGGTTTATAAAAAAAATAAACACTCATTTTTTGATAAGTTTCTTTTTTTAAATCATAAATATAATCGAGTATTCTTTACTTCTTATTTGTACGTACAATAGTATTGTAACAATACATTTTGATCTTGATTTCTGATAAAAATGTTCATCAAGTTCCTTTTTGTAATGCCTATTTTAACCGAAATGTATTGTTGATAATATAGAGTAAATCAAAGCTTTAAATTATAGTTTTTTTTTTTTTAAATTAAAAATGATGTTCTAACGTTTTTCGTTTCATATCAAAAGTAGAGAGATGCTATAGATTTTTTGGTATTATTTTTGTAGTACAGATGACTTGATCGTAACAAGCTAATTATTTATCTTGGAGAAAATAGAAGGTTTTTTTTATAATAAATTAACCAATATTTAAGCATTAAGTTGAGTTATTGCGTGAATGTCATATTTGGGTTACGTTTAGTGTTTACCTACAACATTTCCAGGATACTTTATTAATTTTTTATATTTATTACTTTATTAAATTTCTAAATAAGTGATAGTTGTACGTCAATTCCTTTATAAATTCATACTTAATTAATTGGGCCGTCCATGTTAATCTACTTATATATTTTATGCAGATTAAAAGTTATTGAGTTAATATATTTGTGCTTGTTCCGTGTAATATAAAGTTCCACTTATTTTTGTTGTTTTGCATTAGTCCTAAATCAGTCGCATTCGAAGCTGAGAAAGTCTTATTGAATCGATGAGCATTCGAGATGATCTGCAAGTGTACTTTTTTGAATTATGTTGCACTTTTGCGGAACAGAAGTTCTTCTGCCAACATTATTTTTTAAAACAAATGGTTGATATGTTTGAAATTTTCTGTGATATTCATTCCAGCGATTAGTAAAGTTTGAAAGTACACTCTTCTCTTCCATGACATATGTCTTTATTATACCGCATTTATTATTTACTATATAAAATTAATTTTTCTCGTTTGAATACATTATTTTATTTGTAATATCGTTATTGTATCTTTTATATTATAGATCTATCTTAAATGGAAAACATTTCAATCGATAAAAGAATATTTCACAATTAATATAATTACTAAAATATCTTATAATGTGAAAATAAAATGGAATTAAAAGTATAGTTATAATAATTTGTTAATACAAAAAATATTGTGTTGGTATCCATACTCGTATATTTACAATAAACTTCTATACTTTTAATCTCATGTGCTATTTAATTTTAGATGCTTGAAGGATTTCAATTTTAGTTTATTTTAATGTAGTGGATTAACTTTATTAATTTAGAACCATATATATTTATGCTGCATGATGATTATTTAAACTATAAAAATGTAAATTATATTTCATAAAATATATTGAATTTAGACAATATGGGTTACTATTTGATTGTTTTGAGTACAAAAAATAAATGTGCATTTTGTAACCGAT